TTTTTTCAACTATAGATCGGAATCATGGACCAATGTTCATTTTCTGACAAACCGCAAATATATGATTTTTTTTTTCTTTACTTAAATGTTTCGTCGTGTGGTTAATCTTCAAGGATCTTAACCGACACTTTGTTTAATTTCCTTCTCTTTATAATTTTTTTTCTTCTTTTCATTAGATTTATTTAACACCATATTTTATTTTATTTATTTCCATTTGTAAAAAAAGAAATTAAAAATAATATATTATTGATATAAATTAATTTTACACCATCATTCAATAGAATTATAAGATTAATAATATCTTATAAATATTTTAAAATTAAAATTACAATTTGACCGAACACGTTCGTGATTGATTAATACTATAAAAATATATGTATACTCCTTTTTGCCTATTTAAAAATTTATGTCGGTGCATGGGACCATACATTTACTTTAAACAAAAATTCAAACCAGAATTGGCAGCTGTACACAATTTCCTTTATTGATCAGATCCAAGCAAGAATGTATAGAGATTTATGTAGCCCACCAAAGAAAAGGTCACCATTTTCTTAAAAAAATTATCATGCATTATTGAAAATATAGTTTTAGTCAACTATTTACTTTTGGGAGACAAAGAAATTAAAGTTGTTAAACTTAATTAACGTCAATTAAGTACGGGATTCCAATCAAGCTAAATAGAGCATTGTTGTTAAACCAACTATAAAAAGGTACCTTTCCCTTAAAAGATCAATAACCAAACTGTTTGAATGACAAATGTCTGTTTACTAAAAGTGTCATTACATATATTAAGCACTTGAAAAATACAAAATAACATGCATTTAGTAGTAAGATTATGTTTTTGTCTTTGAAAGGTTATTACAATTTTGGTATGAATTTGTGGTTTTCAGCTGTTGTGGGAGACAGATTCATAGCAAAGGGTATAACCTTTGAGAACTCAGCTGGAGCTAGCAAACACCAAGCCGTAGCCGTGAGAAGTGGCGCCGATTTCTCAGCCTTCTACCAATGCAGCTTTGTGGCTTTCCAAGACACACTCTATGTCCACTCCCTCCGTCAATTCTACCGCGAATGTGATGTTTATGGCACGGTAGACTTCATCTTTGGCAACGCGGCCGTAGTTTTCCAAAACTGCAACCTATATGCGCGTAAACCCGATCCAAACCAAAAGAATCTATTCACTGCACAGGGAAGAGAAGATCCTAACCAAAACACAGGAATTTCAATCCTGAACTGCAAGGTTGCGGCCGCTGCGGATTTGATTCCGGTAAAATCAACGTTCAAGAGTTATCTCGGTCGTCCTTGGAAAAAATATTCAAGAACAGTTTATTTAAATTCTGTTATAGAGGATTTGATAGATCCAGCAGGATGGTTAGAGTGGAATGGAACGTTTGCGTTGGACACATTGTACTATGGCGAGTATCAGAATCGGGGTCCGGGTTCGAACACAAGTGCTAGGGTTAATTGGCCAGGTTACAAAGTTATTACTAATGCAACTGAGGCAAGTCAATTCACTGTTAGGCAATTTCTTCAAGGCACTGAGTGGTTGAACTCTACTGGTATTCCATTTTTCCTTGATTTGAGTTGAAAGGTGTAATGGTAATATGGTGTCACCATTATGTACTATGTTTTCAAATGTGTAATAATAAAAGTCTTTGATGTTTTTTTGGATTCTATGAAATGTGTATTTTGAATTTATATAGGCTTCTTAGCATGCTTGTTGGAATAAATTGATTGCATGGTTGCATATGATACAATGTTTTTATAGGCATTACAATAGTAATGATCTGCTACAGTTATGTAGGCGTGTTATAGACAAGCCAGTTAGTACATATTTTCAATTAGTTCATACAAGGAAGTGACTAAAATTTGAACTCCATTTGCATTCCATTCTTCCTTGATTTGACTTGAAATGTGTTGGTATATTACTTATGTAGTAAAAATATAAAGTGTATTGTTGAAATGGATGGCAACATGTCATTGTTCTCTATAAATCAGAATGGTAATAAACATTAAAAAATGCTTAAATATGTTTTTTTAACGTTTTAATAAGACCTAAAATTTTTCACAAATGTTTGTTGCTTTCCTGGCCGAAATGATCTTCATACCTCTGGAGATAGATCACACCTGACTAATATTCACGGACGGATCATCTAATAGGCAAGAAAGCGGTGCAAGCGCAACTCTAGATAACAACTATGGGCTTGTGGTGGAAGTTTCCTTGAAATTTGAGTTCTCAACCATCAACAATCAAGTTGAGTATGAAGCACTAACAGCTAGGATGACATTGACCGAAGAAATGAGGGCTAAACACATCAAATTGCGGACAAACTCTCAGTTGGTCGTCTCTCAAATAAGAGGGGAGGCCCATGAAAAAGACGCTCTTTTGCAATGGTGCCTCAAATTGGCCACCGAGAGTTTGGCAAGATTCAAGGCATTCAAAACTTCTCGTTCCGTAAGAAGAAAATACTCGCGCCGATGTGCTCTCCCGGTTAGCCAACACGAGGTGCCTAAACATTAATCACTCTTTCATCCAAGAAATTAGAAAAACATCGAGCACCGAATCCCTGGGGGAAAATTGTCTCGGCCGCAGACAACATCGCCTCGTCTTCCTGGATGTCCCCAATTCAGAAGTATACTGAGTTATGAGACCTTCCATCAAATCTTTCTGAGGCGACCCTGGTAAAAAGAAGGGTTGGGGAGTATATGATAGTTGGAGAAGTTTTGTATTAAAGAATCTTATCTACACTCCTACTGAAAAGTGCTTTGGAAATGAGGAGGCCACTTAGGCTCTTCTAGAAGTAGACGAGACGACAGTTGAGTAGCATTTGGGGACTAGAGAATTGGCCAAAAAGGTTATGTTAACATTGTATTTTCTGGCCGAACATGGTTTGTGACACCCAAGAATACGTGAAAAGTGCAACCAATGTCAGTGGCATAGAGATGTTTTCAACGCTCCATCTATGAAATTTCATGTTTTAACATAACCATGGTCGTTCTTGCAGTGGAGATTGGACATCTTCGGTCCATTCACAAATTGAGTTAGGATAACTCAAGTACTTGATCATAGATGTGGACTATTTTACAAAATGGATTGAGGCAGATACACTGGTGAACATTACGACAATAAATTTCTTGAAATTATTCAAAAGAAATATATTGGCTAGGTTTGTAATCCTTCAAACCATTATGATGGATAATGGGACACAATTGATCGATACTGAAGTTTATTTTTGAAAGAGAATACATTGATAAAACTCAAAAGAATTGAAAAGGGAAAAGATAGTTGGCGTCGGAGTTGTGTTGGATCTGGAATAAGTCTCTTATTTCCTCTTCTTTTTTTCCGATTTGCTTCAATGTTTCTCTTTTCGATTTTGGTTTATTATTGATGAATGGTGAATGATGATTATGGTTGTTCTTAATGGTGAGGAAGTTCAATTGCTTGTTCCCATCCGATTCTTCTTCCAAATCTTTGTTTAGTTTTATCAAATGGTTTGTGTGTGGAAGAATGGTTAAATAAAGTTTTATGTTGTTAATGGTGATGGTAGTTATGGAAGAAGGTGAAGATGAGAGGAAATAAGGAGGATTATGGTAAAGAAGGTTGTTGTATGGCGAGGGTTGAATGTTATATGATGGTGATGAAGGTTTTTGAATGGATGAATGAAGATAAAGGTTTGTGGTGGTTAAACAGAAGTGGCGAAGAATTGGTTGTGAAGATTGATACGTGTAATGAGATTTTTCCTCCTCTCCTTCTTATGTGTGTATTATGTGATTTAAATATAAAGAATAATGTGAGTGTTTGGTGAGGTAAGTGTGAGAGAAGGAATAAAAATTTGAACGAATAAAAATTGTATGAGGCCATGTGATGCTTTGTGAGAAAGAGTGAGGTGATAAAAAGTGTAAAAAGTTTGTTAGACCATGTGCAATGGGTATGTTGAGTTTGAACTCAACATGCAAAATCTCCTCCAATGGGTGTTGAGAGAGGTGTTGAGTGTGTGTTGGAAGAGAGAGGTGTTGAGAAAACTCAACACAATTGAAGTTGACCAAGGGCATGACGTGGCAGCGCCTCATTGGTCTGGGCCAGGCGCGTGTAGCCCACTCGCTGGGGGTGAGAGTGGGTCTTAATCCACGCGGAGAGAGAAAGAGAAAAGGGATAAGTGCAGCCACGTGGCTGTGCTTGATTGGCTGACCAGATTTTTATCCATTTAATACTTTGAACTCAATTATTTCGTTGCAAATTATTTTTTTATTTTTATTTTTTTACCAAAATTCATGATTTTTTTTTCTCTATAAATAGAGACTTGGTTCATTTGATTTGGACACAGAAAAAAAAACTAAGTTTTTCACTATCTTAATTTTATTATTAGTGTTTATTTTGAAGTTAAGTGTCTTTTTTTAGTGAAATGGATCCCAATAATCATTTTAACACTCAAAATTCTGCTAATTTTCCATTTAACCAAAATCCAAACAATTTTCCAAATCCCAACAATTATCAAAATCCCAACTATTATCAAAATCCAAATCAATTTTCCAACCAACATCCTCAAAACATACCTAATTTTGGTTTTCCACCAAATTTCAACCAGACATCCTCTGTTCCAAACTTTCAAACATATTATGGATCTATGCCGAGAAATCCATCTCAAACACCCCCGTTTAATGGTTATGTGACAATGGCGAATGCAAATTTTCCAAGTGGTGGTGTACCTGAATTTCCCGAGTTTTCAACACAACTAACTATTGGTGGCATGATTGTTTCTAATGAAGTCGGTCCGAATTCAGAGGATTCAACTCCTTAGAGCAGGAAAACTCAGCAACCAGCATGGAACACTGAACAAAATTTGGTTCTAATTAGTGGGTGGATTAAATTTGGAACAAGCAGTGTTGTCGGGAGAACCCAGAAAGGTGAAACATATTGGGGTAAAATTGCTGAGTATTGTAATGAGCATTGCTCATTCGATCCTCCGCGTGATGGACCTGCATGCCGAAACCGTTTTAATTATATGAACAAAGTGTTGGGTAAATGGATTGGCGCTTATGATGGCGCTAAGCGTATGCAAGGAAGTGGTTGGTCGGAGAATGATGTTTTGGCAAAAGCGCATGAATTATATGCATGTGGGAAGAATGTTAAATTCACTTTAATGGAAGAATGGCACGCTCTCCGTGATCAACCACGTTATGGTAGTCAAGTAGGAGGAAATATTGGCTCAGGAAGTAGTGGATCTAAGAGATCTCGCGAGAGTGATGCATGTGGCTCAAACACTGTAGAATCCAGTGCTCGTCCTATAGGAAGGGAGGCAGCTAAAAAAAAGGGTAAAAAGAAAAGCAAGGAATATGCCTCGGAGGTGGTGGACAAAGAGGCTGAATACAAAGAATTCAAGACGAAAGAGCTTGAACGATTGGACAACATAGCGTTGATGCAACAGCAGGCTAACAATATAGCCTTGGAGAAGACTAAAACCAAGAAAATGAAGATGTATCTAAAGCTAACTTCCGAAGAGCATCTAGATGACCGGAAGAACCAGCTGTTGAAAAAGTTGGAGGCAGAACTGTTTGATAATTAATTTCAATGAAGTATTTGTCAGTGTTGTGTTTGCTTTAATTATTGTTGTTTCAATATGCCAGTGTAGTGTTTGCTTTAATTATTGTTGTTTCAATATGCCAGTGTAGTGTTTGCTTTAATTATTGTTGTTTCAATATGCCAGTGTAGTGTTTGCTTTAATTATTGTTGTTTCAATATGTCAGTGTAGTGTTTGCTTTAATTATTCCTTATCTGATAATTAACTCTATACAATAAATTATTTCGAATCCGTCAGTGGTCCACCACCCAATTCGAATCTATTCCTTATCTGATAATTAACTATATACAATAAATTATTTCGAATCCGTCAGTGGTCCACCACCCAATTCGAATCTATTCCTTATCTGATAATTAACTATATACAATAAATTATTTCGAATCCGTCAGTGGTCCACCACCCAATTCGAATCTATTCCTTATCTGATAATTAACTATATACAATAAATTATTTCGAATCCGTCAGTGGTCCACCACCCACATCCATTTATATATAGGGACTCATACATCCATTTATGTACCAATATCCCAAATCCCATCCAATCTACCTCCAATATCACAAAAAAATGGATCCATCACAATATCATTTTGATATCGCAGCCTACAATCAAAATCGTGAAATTGAAGAAAATTATATAGTCAATCGATTTAGAGAGCGTAGAAACAAAATATCGGAAGATAATGCACCTCGTAGTAGAAAATATCTCAATAGAGATCATGCAGCGGCAAACCAAAGACTAATTGACGACTACTTTGCCAATGAGCCTACATATGACGATGCAATGTTTCGTCGTCGGTACCGGATGAAAAAAAATGTTTTCCTTCGAATCGTTGGGGACCTTTCAAGTAGTGATAACTACTTCACCCAGCGAGTTGATGCAGCCAATAAAGAAGGTATATCACCCTTAGCAAAATGTACCACAGCAATGCGAATGTTAGCATATGGTGTGGCAGCAGATGCGGTCGATGAGTACATCAAAATAGGAGGTACTACAGCATTGGAGTGCTTACGTCGATTCTGTAAAGGAATCATACGCTTGTACGAGCAAGTGTATCTGAGAGCACCAACCCAAGATGACCTGCAAAGAATACTGCATGTTAGTGAAATGCGGGGGTTCCCAGGGATGATTGGGAGTATTGACTGCATGCACTGGGAGTGGAAAAATTGTCCTAAAGCATGGGAAGGACAATTTACTAGAGGGGATAAGGGAACCACCACAGTTATTCTTGAAGCAGTTGCATCTCATGACCTATGGATCTGGCATGCCTTTTTTGGATGTCCGGGAACGTTGAACGATATAAACGTTCTAGACCAGTCACCAGTGTTTGATGACGTGGAACAGGGAAAGGCTCCAAGTGTGAATTTCTTTGTGAATCAACGTCCATATAATATGGCATACTATCTAGCTGATGGTATCTACCCTTCTTATCCAACTTTCATCAAATCGATTAGACTTCCTCAAAGTGAACCCGATAAATTATTTGCAAAATTTCAGGAGGGATGTCGGAAGGACATCGAACGTGCATTTGGAGTGCTCCAAGCTCGATTTAAAATCATCCGTGAACCAGCTCGCTTGTGGGACATAACTGATTTGGGTATCATCATGAGGTCATGCATCATATTACATAATATGATTGTTGAGGATGAACGAGATTCATATTCTCAACGTTGGACCGATTTTGAGCAGTCTGGGGAAAGTGGATCTAGTGCACCACAACCATACTCGACCGAGGTGTTACCCGCTTTTGCAAATCATGTGCGTGCTAGATCAGAGTTCCGTGATCCAAATGTTCATCAAGAATTGCAAGCCGATCTAGTGAAGCACATATGGACAAAGTTTGGAATGTTTCGTGATTGAATTATTTGTGTGTTGTATTGCATTTTAAATTATTTGTATCGTACTAATTACGTTACTTGTGTGTTGTATTACATTTTAAATTATTTGTAACGTACTAATTACGTTAATTGTGTGTTGTATTTTAAATTAATTTAAGATGATTTGTATCGTATCCAATTATTTAAATAAATTTTGTTTTTATTACAAAAAATTAAAAAATAAATTATTAAGTATTTATTATTTTAATTTAATTTTAATCGATAATTGTAATTTTATGTAATCATAAAAATAAAAATAAAATTTAAATAAGAATATGAAAATAAAAAGTGGTGGGGTAGGGTGTTGAGTGAAAAACCATTGGATAGGGTAAAAGTTGAATGAGGGTTGAGTTATTAGGTGGAAGAAAGAGAAAATGATGTGGAGTGTTGGGAGTTGAAAAAGTGGGTGTTGAGTTTTTCAACCATTGTAAATGGTCTTAGAGCTTGCACATGTACGTGAGAAATTTGTGAAGTTGTAAAAGTTTCATGTATGTGTATGTATGAATGGAATGACCATGATAATGTAATGATGAAATGAAATTTTTTGTTGAAACTTTTTTTGTCTTTTGTGTTATTTCGTCACTTTGTAATGTAAATGGAAAAAATAAGACTTGATGATGTATGTATAATAATGAATGTATGAGTTGGATATTTTTATGAATTTGATAAGTTTTGCTTATGTGCAAAAGAAGAAACTTGGTGGAAAAGAAAAATATGGATAATGCACATAATTATTTACATCAAAATGAAATAATATTTTTATTTTGAAATAAAAACTCATTAAACAAAGTGTGATATTTAAATTGATGCTAAAGAAATATTGTTGAAAGTGAAATGGTCCTTAAAAAATCAAAAGACATAAAAAATTATATTTTTCTGAAAAATGAAAAATATGGTGAAATATAAAAATGTGAAGAATTTGACAAAATACAAGCATGATCAGATGAAATAAAAATTCCCAGACAAAATTAGAGTACGACAATACAACATAGAAACAATCATTCTAGTGGAAAATGAAGAGCTAAGTTGGAGGAGAGTTAACCCTTTGTAGGTAGAAGGTAGTAACAGAGTCATCAGAGAAGAGATCGACCTCTTAGAAGAAAAGAGAATGACATCTTCCATCACCAACGTCTTCATCAAGAAAACCACAACATCCAGGTACAACCAACACGTTCGATCAAGAGAATTATAGACAGGGAACTTGGTGCTACGGAGAGCCGACATAGGAGGGAAAATATCTGGAATGGAAATTTAGCAAAAAATTAGAAAGAACCCTACCGGGTGTGAACTAGTACCAAGACAAGACCATACACCTTGGAGTCCCTCAAAGGGGAACAAATACCAAGGACTTGAAACGTCACTAAACTAAAATGGTATTACAACTAAAAGGACTATGTACCTAATTATTCCATTCTTTCCATGTAACAGAGTGATATATTAATATATGCAAATACTTTTTTATTATTATTTGTATTGCTCCCTTTTCTGTTCTTCTCTCTTTTCGGATACCAAGGACAATAAATACTAAACATATTTCTATGTAGTTGGTGTACCCCCACCCCCTTTGGAACTAGCCACGCCAAGGGAATCAGACTTAGGGATTCTACCCTTGGCAGGGGACGTTCCTCTATAAAATTCTAGTATTCAGATCTTAGATGTCCTAAGAAATGTCGAGACACTGTTATCTAAACAAAAACACAATGATAAGTGTGATACGGTGGGAGAACTGACTTGAGGTTTTGCGTTTGTGTTTGCAAATGTTTCGGTTTAGCAAGAGTCGCCACCGACTTTTTATTTTATCCTAAGGAAAGGTCAAAAAGCACAGGAAAGACCTTTGAGATGTTTTCTTGGGTTCAGGGAGTAGATTATAGAAAGGGAAGGTATTAGCACCCTTTCTATCCATGGTTATCCATGGGCTCTTAGTTACTTGTTTAGATCACTTGCTTTGCTTTTCAATTGTTTGAAATGGTGCTCTTCAATTGTTTGAAATGGTGCTTTGTGTGTGGTTTTTGAAAGATGTTTTGAAAAGAGGCCATCGTTGTGGCAACCTTTGTAATGATTCTTGTTTGAATGTATACAAAGGTGTTTTTATCTTTTGAAAAGTTTTAAATATTTGAAAGTAGGGTTTTGAAATTGTGTTGTGAAGTGTGTTTTGAAGATAGCAAGGATGTTTTTGCAAGTTTTGATCAAGTAACTAAGAGTTGTCTACCCTATTTTACTCAAAGATCTTCCTTGTGTTTTTAACCCTTTTAACAGTGTTGCTTCACCATTGTATTTGGTGAACAACCTTGTGTTAGGATGTTAAACGGGACGGGCGCGGGTCATCGTATAGACCATGATAGCAATAGTGTCAAGTATTTTTGGCAATTTTCTTGAGGGACTAGATCATTTTTGTTTAGGAAACCTAGTGTTGGATGAAGATTTTGATGATATTATTAGAAGCAAAGTAAATTGGACGTTTCGATTGAAATGAAACAGAACGTCATGTTTCGAAATAGCAGAAGCAGTGTTTCGAATGGGCATATCAAAGCTTGGAGCTTCGAGTGACAGTTATGAGAATATATCCAAAGGAGTCTCGAAATGATAACAAGGCTGTGTCTAAGAAATGCGTTCGAAGCGAAGAAGTGCCAAAACATTTGAAATTCAAATGCAAGCGGGATGTTCGAAATTTGAAATATATGCGCTGGAGCATTCGAAGACGCGTGGAAGCAAGAGAGAGGCATTGCTCTGCATGTTCTGAACGTGGCAGAATCTTATAGCAAGACCGTTATGGTCGAAGTAGTATAAATAGAAGTCTTAGCATTAGGATTTCGTGTGTCATATCTATTGTACAAAAAACTAAGTAAACATTCAAATTACCACATGGCTAGGGAAACGAATGCAAGAGCAATGTACGTATGATAACACCACATGTTTATGATTTAATGAAAACTCTTTATCATTTCCAGTACTTTCCTTTATCTTTATATCAATACCATTACAAGTTTTTGCATCTAAAGTTTTTTTATTCGAAATCTTTTCACTGATGCCCTACATTTAAATGCTTTCTTTCCATTTCAAATACTTTACATTTCAGAAACTGTTATACATTTCATGCCTTTATCTTCAAG